GTATTTGAGACCTCAAAAGAAAACTGAAAATTTGTCAGTTGTTTTTTACCAGATAAGGGAAAATACAGTGCCTGAGCAGAGCTGGATGTTGTGAATCATTTGACCTCACAACTGTTTTTCCTGAGTACAGTCTGGGAATGCATTCTTGGAAGAATTCAGCTTTGATCCAAGAAGAAATGTCTCTTTCCATTAGTTTTTATTTCCTCTTCTTGCTGCAGACAAACCTGAATATTACAAAGGGCAAACCCATGAAACTTTCTCCAACTTTCCCTCAGGGGGGTAAAACAGGCTTTTTCATCTTCAAGTGACAGTCTTTCAGTTGTGCAAAAAATGCCTTTCATTTCAGTAAAAGCCACCACATGGGAAGCTCTAGGCTGACCTACTGTGGCAGAAGAGAAGGTGAGGATGTATTTGACTGTATCTTACTGAGGTAAACTCACATACAGATAGATTTAGACATCACTGAATATAAATACAATCTCTATGAGCGGAAAGAGCTGTTTTTCTGTTGATGGAAGCACACTATGACTAACACTTTTTTTTTTTTTTGCCATTCTCTCTGGATCTAACAAGGTTTTCTATATTATGCAACAAACCATAATGGTCAGCTGCTCAAAGTGCATCTCCTTGGCCACCAAGTCACTGTGTTTTTGACACAGCACAGCACTTGTGCAGTTTTTGTAGCACAGTTGACCCAAGCAGCTACAGCTCAGCATAAAGTTTTAGAGCAGAGCCAAATGCAGCCTAACAGGCAGGTTTGGAAGAGATCTCCTGCCAGAACTCAAGCCTTGTGCTGCCAGTTTGCTTGTAACTTACTGGTATGGTCCACACAGTGCTCTTGAGATTAATGAATATATAATCCCATATCCCATTACCACACAGTGTTTGAAACATTTCCCATTAACAAAATACAGAACATGCAGGTGAAAATATCAATGCATCTCATTAGAGGAGGAAAAATGGAAAATATGTATTATATTAAAGCCAAGTTTTGGGCTCTTGGGAAAAGTTTGGGGGGGAGGAATGTATTTCTTCAGGTGGTCTCAAGTGGAAGGAAGGATCCAGTTTCTTGGCTACACCAGCAATTAGAAACAGGGCAACACTATAGCCAAGATGTGGCCTCTAATTCTTCATCTTCCTATTCTGTCAGAAGCAGGTTCAGCAACAGGCCCAAGAATAAGCCTAAGAACTTCAGGCAATCCTGGTGACTTTGCTCTTGAAATCCTGGTCTAAAGAATCATATCTGATGTTTGCTTTAGGCCAGCATTTGCATAGGTTGTTTCAGGTTGCACAGCAACCTGTAGAGTCCTGTGCTCGGATTTTCTTCAGCAATAAAAAACCCCCTTGAGTGTAACAGAGATGAAGGTGGAGCTAAAGTATAGGGGGATTGAACCCTTGGGAAAAAATAATACAGGAAAACTGTATGTGATGAAATCATACATTGCAGACCTGTGACCTGAAAATCAAACAGACCAAACCACTCAAATCTTTGAGTGACAAAACCTTTTTCTACCACTTTATAGGAAAGCTGGGGACTGAAGTCAGCACTGCAAAGTACTGTTAGGGGGAACAGAAGAGGAACATTGATATTATTAATTTCAGTGAGCAGCTTATGTTCTCTAGGTCTTGATGGCTGGACCAGCTGTTGAGCCAGCTATGCCTGGGCAGATGTTCAATTTGTGTCCTGGGTCTGGGAGGGACCTTTGTAGTTGCTGAACTCTGCCTGAAAGAGGAGGGACCAAATAAAGGGACCAAAGTCCTTTTATTCTTGTAAGTTGGATGGAGAAACCTGGTGTAATGAAAGGTGTCCCTGCCCACGGCAGGGAGTTGGAACAAGATGATCTTTTTAAGGTCCCTTCCATCCCAAAGTAATCTATGATTCTAAGTAGATAAACAGCTCTCACCTACTCATTCCTTCCTGATGCTGAAATAATCAAACCCATAATTCAGTGGGAGTATTTTAAGGGAAGCAACTCTACTTGGTGTAGGCTTAGAGAACTGACTGCCCCATTTCTTAGATAAACACAAGCACATAGTAAATCCTAACAGGTTTCCTACCATGCTTTAAGGTACTTTAGGCGAAACCTGGTGCATCAGTTTTTACCTGGGGTCTTCCTACCTCGCTGTTAATGTAGTGTTTCTTTAGGGGGAGAAAAAGCCAGCCAAAGAAATCACAAGCTTGGAGCAGGAGGTCTGTTGGTTTTCTGCTCACATAAATTGCCTGCTAAACACACGTGGCCCTTAAAAGGCTGTGTTGGGGGGGATAATTCCCCTGGCAGTGCAGACCACATGTTCCTGCTGGTCCATGCACTCCGTGCAGCTGTACAACATATCACATAACGCGGTCAACTGCAGGCACGCTGCCCTGCCATTCCAGGGGGGGCCCAAAACTGCAAATAGAACGGGCAAAGAAACTCCTGGAGACATAGCACTAGCTGGGGGAGCAGGAATGCTTGAGCCAACTGCCCAAGGCTTGTAGTCAAGGTCACTTGTCAGGGGACCAGGCCTGGCCCAGGGTGCTCAACTTGTCCCAGGCTCTTGCCATGGTTGCATGTCCTGGTCTTGCTGACATTGCACTGAAAAACCTCTTTATGGGCAGAAGGGGCACACAGTGTTGTGTAGCTAAGATTTTGTTGTCAGTCTAGTTAATGTTTCATCAGTCCAAATTCTCTAATTGAGAAAAGCCTTTACTACATAGTCAAATTGTTGTACCAACCTTTTCAGTACCTGCACCCTGAAAGGGTGTTGTGCCCACCCTTTCCACGTGTGACATCCCATCCCACGTGGTGTCCTGAAGCTCCTGCTGTGTTTCCACCTTGGCCATCTTCTTACCTTGTCTCCAGCTAGCCCAGGGGCTAATGCCTACCCAAGGGGCTCCAAAACAAACAAGGGCACTAAGGAGCCAACAGGGATACCTGGCTGTGGGAGATGTGACCTTGCTAACACACCTGCAAGATTCTTCAGGCTATGGAGCAGGAGGGAAGGGAGAAGCCATGTCTGGCAGGCAGGATGGGAGCCAAGGGAAGGGTAGGTTAGATGTGGCCCAAAGGGCACTACTAGACATGTGCACCGTATATTTTCCCAAAGCTGATGGGGATACATCATTACAGTTCAATCATCCATTCTCAGTTATCAGATAAGTTTTTTGTTTTTTGAAAATGTTCAGAGATTTTAAAAAAAAAAAACCAAAACACCAACTTGGGAAAACTATGGCGTTTTACATATAAATCTGTTTTATTTTGTGTGAAATTTAACTGAAATGATCTTAATGATTTATGTAAAGTGAAATATTGGGTTTTCCTTTTTCTTTCTCTTCTAGGCCTGGTCTCACACAGGCATATTAATGATTATTTGTCAAAGTCACACTGTTTGCTTACAAGGTACGAAGGCTTTTTAGACACTATAATGACAGCTTTTGATTCACTTGATAATATTTAGAATAAGCCATAAAAGCCAATCTCTGAACGAACAGACCGCTTTTATTGGCTTTTAGTGCTATTACTGCTATCATAAGTGGTAAATTGGCCTAATGCAAGTAATACTGCTGTGTCATACTGTAAAAACCACTGCTTAGTTTTATATTTTATTTATTTTTTTATGAAAAAAATTTAAGGCACGGGGACTCTACTATCCTTCTACAACTCTTGGTGATTCCCTCCAAATCAGAGCTGGTGAAGCTTCCACTGCTGTTTGGAATTTCTTTGCTCGGTGATTACCACCTCTAATGGAACAGGACTGATCATAAAGTCAGGAACCAAGAGTGTGAGTGAAGTGATTACCTTGCTGAAGCTAGTAGGCTGTTTATTTATTTAAATCATAAATTAACTAGAAAAAAAATCATTGCTTAGCTGGAAGCTGAATTGGATATATTTCAAATCCTTTATGCTACATTTTTATATGGCTTGTTTTATAATAGCAATAGTATTTTTTTAAATAGTAAGCACTTAAAATATCTGCTGACAATAAATTTGGTCACTACGTCATCCAGCCAGAATGACTACCAGGTGCCATAATTGCTTTTTCCTATGATTCTTTTGGCTTTCTTCCCCTGCTTCTCACCATGTCTTCTATTGTTTTGCCTACTCTTGGAACAGAAGCATGGATTTCAGAGACTTAAAATTCCAATAACATACAATTTTTTCTTTTAATCAGGAAAAAAGGAGTTTATAATAGAATTTTATGTTTTTCTTAGTTTTTATAAATAAGGGAAATAGTTGAGAAAATGACACTGAAGATATTTGAATTGACTTTTGAGTTTCTGTTCTTTTATCTTCCTCTTTCTTTCCCTTTGCCCATGTACTATCAAAGTAGACACTTTTCAGCAGTTCTTGTTTGGAAAGGAAAAGTGTAGTGTGTTTTAAACTTAGTTAAAACTTGAACACTCTAAAGTCAAATATAACTTTATCATGATATACTCTGTGACCATTAAAAAATTAGTCTAATGATAGAGAAAAGTCTATCCCAGTAATAATCACTAATTTAACTTGAACACATGCTTGAAATAATTATTCACATTCAATGTGCTATTAGAACAGGAAGAATCATATTCCAACTTTAATTTTGGCATCTAAGTATTTGTGGATACATGATAGTGTTTTGGCACTTGTGTTAGTTGCCCTGGGTGAGTAACAAAACAACTTGATGTTAAAAGTGCTTAACTTCTTTTTAAGACAACTATCCTGACAAGGATCACACAGAAAAAAAATCTTCCCTAATTCTGATATCTGAGTTTTCTTCAGTTGAAAGATACTGATTTGATCTGTATTTTACTCTGAAGAACTCAAGTGGTCTTATTGACCCAAAATCTACACTCCTTTTAAATTCCAGGTGTCACGACATAAGCCAAATAATGTTCCCATCTGCATCTCTGCTGCAGTAGCATCTTCTTTCTTTTGAAACTGTTTGTAGACATATTTCAGCAAGGAGAACATAATCTGTCAGTAATCAGTTCTTTGATGCCTCAACACTATTGTGGCAATGTTTGTTTTTCTGTAGAGCACAGCAGTGAGAGGTGCATCTCTTCCTCTATCTCTGGAGTCTGCTGACATATTCAGGCACAAGTTTTTCTTCCTGTGCATGTTTCTGTGCTGTGTATATTCATTTACGTGTGAGAGAAGAAAACATTATCATGTTTAACTGCTGCAATCATAAGCACATTAAGTAGACAGATAATAAACAATCCATCTGAATTTATGATTAAGTTAATTGTGTCTGTGTTTTTCTAACGTGTTTATTCAGATTAAAGACTGAAATTAGAATGAGACTATATAATCAAGAGACCCTAAGAGACTGTTTGACTCCTACAAAATAAAAATTAATTTAGTTTAGGAGGATAACAAAGATCACTGTAGCACTTAAATATCACTTAGGTGGTAAAGAGGCCTTGTGCAATTCTCTTTGAAGAGATGAATCTCAGTAGTAGTAAGAGTTATTCAGGAACTCAGCTGACACTGAGGGCTTCACAACCTAATTTTTGTATATCCCCTTCTGCCCGGCAGGCACCAGACTCACAGATTCAATTTCTGTACAGTACATGCAGAGGATCAGGTAACTGGGAGCACCAAGCTGATGGGAGAGGTGAGGAAACAAGGAATTAAAGTAGGAGAAACACTGGAAGGAATAGGGAGAAGGACCAGTCAAATTTACTTAGGGCTGCTCCACCTGCATTGGGCTCCTTCATCAGTCACTGCTCCTGAGGCTGTGTAGGAGGAGATGCTCTAGTCCCTTCCACCTACCTGAGGGTGGTGAGATCCCTGCTGGTGGACTGGGCACGAACAAGTCTCAAATCCCTCGCTGCCTGTGCTTAGCAGTGTGTTACAATCATAGAATGCATTGGAAGGGACCTTAAAGATCACTCAGTTCATTTGTGTTACTACTCCAGATGAGAAGGAATACAAATAATAATTAATTTTTGAGCTTTCAGGAAAAAAAGTTGACCAAAGAAAGCAACACTGGGCTTCACTTTTACCTTGAAGAGAAACAACCCACTCTTGTGAGTGTGGTACATGTATTGAATCTAAGGCCAACAACAATCCTGACAGAGAGCAGTCACACAAACAGATGCTACAAATTATGAAGCTTCTAAAATATTTAGTGCTTTTATTCTGTATTTTCTTTATCAGGTTACTAAATTCTGTTTAGTACAGGCATCTTTCTGGCTTGTAGTGCCTTAGATCTAGGAGACCAGTTTGGCATTTGACCCTTCCCTCTATGGCTTGAAGCGGTAAAATGAGACATGGTTTCATTCCTCCTGCTGCAATGATGCTCTAAGATGATTAGAGGGATCTGTCTTAAACATACTGGGACAGATCAAATCTTTTGCAAGCCAGTGCAGCTCTGTTGCTTTACTGGAATTACTCATTGCTTTGACACTGACCCTTAGGCTAAGATTTTCCATGCACCAATTTGCCATCTTAAATAGGAAGTGCTATTGAGGCCCTTGGATATGTGGATTCTGCTTTAACATCTATATTGCCGAGAAACTCAACAACTAGGGAGTGTCTGTATGGTTATTTTATGTTTTGCTCTACTTATACCACTGAGAGCAAAATTCTGAATATTTTGCCCAAGTACAGCAAAGAATAGAATTGGTCTGGAAAACTTCCAGGAGTGAATGAAACAATATCTTAAGGTCTTCCCCAGAATTGGCAGTTGAATGAAATAGAATTTTCCTTTGTTGAACAAATTTACTTAAGGCCATCAAACCTAAATAAACCTTCACTTATATTTTTGCAATCAATATCCAGTATAGGAGTGTGACTTTAAACTTAACCCTATGAGCCAGAGAAGTATCTCTATCTTACTGTACATCCAAAGTCTTACATCTCCAAGGATCTACCAGCTCAAAGATCAAGGACCCCTCAGTTTATAACACTGTAATTAGAAGTGGTGATTTGGGACCATTGCGGATTTCATATACTCCCTTGCCATTGGAAGAGTCTTTAAATCTGCTGGTTTACAACTTAAAGCAAGAGTTGTCTTCATTAATTCATTTGGTCATAGTCCTGAAGCTGACAAGGCATCTTCCAGGAATTTGAGCCCCCTGGGATCCTTGTCATCAGTTTTTAAATGTGCTTTTTCTTCTGTATGTGTGTGGTGTTCTTATCTGGAAACAGTCTGCTTGGATTACAGCATTCATCTTAGAAGCATTTGGCATTTTCTGTTACATGAAACTGAGAAGTCTTTCTTTGCTATCAGTCTCCTATAAAGCTTTTCAATGCAATGACTTAATTCAGGCTGAAAGAAGAGAGTGAAAAAAGCTTCTGGACCCAAGTCAGCAAGATTCAGGAAACAAGTGTCCAAGCGTGTATGTAAAATTGCATTCACTGACTTCTGAGACTTTAAAAAAGAAATTCTAAAAATGTCATTTAGCTCCCTAAACACAGGGATGAAAGTCAGATCAAAACACTCTACTGTGAATAGTCTCAGCCTTGAGAGGTACAAGCCTTGTACTTTTATTCCAGCCCCCACAAACCAGGTATAAAACTGGAAGGTGGTGAAAGAATTAGGAAAATCCCTGAGTGTCTCCAGGACAACTTTCCTTCTGCAAAACCAGTCTCATGGTGTTATGTCATCCTTCCTGCTTTATCACTGCTTGTAAAAGTCTCTCAAAGCCCCTGGGTAACAAAGAGAGGTGTGTTCCAGGGAAAAGGCATTTTTGAGTGCTGCCATGTAGAAAGCTTTTGCTCTTACCCCCAGGAATACAACCCCAGGGCCAGGCTGTGGGATGTTTAGGTGTGGTACAATCAGGAATAGTCTGCTGGGATGTACTACTCTTAGAAATGTGGCCCAATCTCACCCAATGGGATTAATATTGGAATAAAGTGTTATTTGAATAATGTCACTACAGGCAGGTCTATGATATGAGTAAATCTCCCTTTTCATATGAAATGTAGTCCTTTTAAGGGGTGAAATATAATCCTGAACAGAGACTCTATTTACCACTTAAGCCCTATTTTATGGTTTAAGTGTTGACCTTGCACTGACCCTCAGCACAGGGCTGAATTTCACCCCATAGCAAAAATCCGCTGGCTAGAGCGGTGGATTAGAGAAATTGGGGCTAGACATTTTACTATTTGCAAGACAATGAATACAGGCTTATTTTAGACAAAAATGTTTCTGATTTATGAGAATTTTAGTGCAGAAAGGGGCTATTTTGGAGAAAGTCTTGAGATTAGAATTTCAGTTATATTTTTGGCAGGAGAGCAAGGAAGCCATTTCATTAACTTTTCACTGGAAGTTATATATGGAGGGCATTTGTGTACACAGCTGGGCAGCATAAAACAGGAGGGCTTTGTGTGAAAATATCCTGAAATGAAATTTCATTTCTGTATGAGTTGGATCTGCGTTCCTGGGCTGCCGTGGCCAGTTTTGGATGAAACCATGGGAGGGCAGTGTGAGGCCCTCACACATTTTCCCTTGCGTTTGCAATGGACGTAGAAATAGTGAACAGACCACTGCGGTCTCTGTGCAAAATCAGTGTCACCTTTTATAGCTTTATGTCAGTAGATAAGCTCCTGCCTGCTCCCACGTATCCATATGGCTGTAATCATCAAGTGATACCAAGAGATTTGTTTGTAAAGAACTCCAAAAGCCACATGCTGAGGCTGGTGTGAATTTAGCTCTGCTTTGACCTCCCTCCTTTTCCACCAGATGGCTGCTAATCTGGCACTAAATCACTGCCATGGTGGAAAGAGCCCCTGGTCCACGTGGAAGAGGCTGTGGCTGTGCTGGGCAAAGTGGGACCATCCCTGAGTCAGCCCTTGGGAGTATTGCTCGTTCTTGACCCCACTAAAGGGCATATCTTGTGTAGCTTCCAGATTTTACAGGGCCCTCTAGTAACTGTGCTTGATTAAGAGCCCATGCTCTTGCTTGGGGTGTGATGATCTTCTTGTTGCATATCTCATCACAGAATCATGGAGTGGTTTGAGTTGAAAGGGTCCTTTAAGGTCATCTTGTTCCAACTCCCTGTCCATGGGCAGGGACACCTTCTACTATTCCAGGCTGCTCCAAGCCCTGTCCAACCTGGGCTTGGACACTTCCAGGATGGGGCAGCCACAGCTTCTCTAGGTAACTTGTTCCAGGGCCTCACCATCCTCATAGGGAAGAATTTCTTTTTAGTATCTCATCTAAATCTCTCCTCTTTTAGTTTAAAACTCTTCCCAGTTTTCCTGTGACCATCTGCCTGTGTAGTCTTGTAGGGACTTGAAGCATGGAAGACAGAAGCCCCTGCAGAGGACACTTCTCTAATATTACCTTCAAGTTACATTGGTCGTTCTTTTCTTATCCATGCATATTCATATTCTATACACTGTCATTTCTGTTATTTTGTTGCTTTTCAGAGCAAAATGCAAATAAGTAGGACTAACACATGCACTGAGGATTCCTGCTCTAGTTTCTCGTGGCAGATAACTTTGCAACTGCTTCTTTGCAAATGAACTCGCGTTCCCTTCTGCCCAGAGGTTTTACAGGTACTGGTGTGGGAAACTCTATATCTCTGTCCAAAACTGTCTCCCATCTCCAGCAATAAGCTCTCCCTCATGGGAGGAAGCAAGAAGACATAACTACCTCCACTCCTACACAAAATAGGAGTCGTTGTCTGCTTTTGCTCCTGTGTCCCAGGCTTTCCTTGGGTTGGTTCTCATCAGTCAGTGCTAAGGTCAGACAAGCAGAACTGCCTTTTCTCAGTGCTCATTCATACTGATTCTGGTGGATTCACATGTGATGATCTGATGCATAACCTCAAAATGCAGGGTTTCTCATCTTTAGAAATAACAGTCTGAAGAATATTCCATACTATCAGAAAACACTGCTGGTGTATATATATATATATACATATATATATATATATATATATATATTCTTTACCCTGAGACATCTTGGTATAGAACTGTGATCATTTCACTGTCCTTGTTCTCACTTTCAAGCCAGGGAGTCTCTCATGTTATCTACATGTAGACTTAAGTGCTAAGTGCCTCAAGAGGTACAGAGATGTTTTAGGACTTCCTTAAACTCTAAGCAAACATAGAGCACGCTTTTACCAGTCTGCTCCCCCATGTACATTTTGATTATTATTTGATTCTGTGATCTGCTAGGTCCTGTAGACTATCCTTCACAAAAAAAAAAGGCTTGTAGGACAAGCAAGAAACAACAGGAGAAGGCAAATATGACATTATCCTCTTAAAAAAATACAAACTGGAGCCATGATTATGTACATGTTTCTCTCCAAGACTGTGTAGACTTGTGCAACATTATTTTTTCCCCTGTATCATCTTTAACTCTCATCCGTACAATCCTATATTGCCAAACTACTGTTTTTCTGCACTTTTCACTAGTTTGGTTTCTCTTTTCCTTTGGGGAAGAACTTTTCCCTCAGAATGAGGTTTTGATTTCTGCTTTTAGATGCTTCAAGACAGAAGCAACCTATCTTCATCCAAGAAAAAGGAGATGATAAATAACTGGCAACCAGATTAAAATCCCACCCCACCTTGATTAAGCAGTTTATGATGTTGAAAAACAACCAAAAAAAGTGATAAGTACCTTATTTTGGTGTTGACCCACTGTACTACCAGTCCATAAGCTTTTACTTTGCAAAGCATTAGGAAAAAATAAAGTCTAGGAAAGACACTAAAGCCACAGCCTAGTCTATATCTTTTTGTTTATTTCTGATACTATGTGGTTCATGATTGTTTCTTTTAGAAGGAACAAATAATCAATACAAAGCCATGAATAAAAATAACTTTTCTTTAACACTGGATGCTAAAAGAACATATAGTCTTCTTACTGTGCCTGATGGAAACAGTACAAGTCTGTTCTCCACAATTCGTTGTTTATTGGAATGCCTGAAATCTATACATGAGGTATTTTTAAAACATTTAAACATAGAAGTTAAGCTTCTGCTCCAGACAATTTGTTTCACCATATTCTAAAAACCCGGTGCATACCACAGAAGTGCTTAAAGCAAAGAAACAACAACAAATTTTTTTAAAAGTAAACTTCAATATTAGATAAAATAATCTCCATATTCTCAAGGAAAATTTGCTTTCCTCACGAAACAAGTTCTGTTATTTCCTGACTCAGCTGCTGTACAAGACCCTCAAGGCTCCAATTCTCTCTGTGGCACTATTGAAAGATGTACCAATAGTCAACACTTGGCTCTTTCTGAAAGATTATAGCTCTTCCAAGTACAGAACAATCAAAGGTTAGTAATGATCTAGAAACTTTGGATGGTGTCTCTCCTTAGGAAATGGAGAAATAAACCATTGTGAATTAGTGTCACTCAGTGAAATGAACTCAGGAATGTGCAGGGATGGCACCTGACTCCTGGAGCAGGTCTGGAGCAGAGGATAAATAACAATATGGGACTGTGAGAGCCCCTGCTCATAGACGTGGACCAGTCACAGTCCTCTGTACCTTTTTTCCCCTTTGTAAACTGCAAATATCTTGTGTTCTAATCTCCTGTGATGGAATAAACACTCAATTCAGTTACATGTTTGCTGTTTGCAGGGTAAAGTCCAATGCTATCTTGTAGGCTTAGACCCCGACCTCACTCAGCTGTCTCTCTCTCTCTGATGCTCAAACTACAAAGCTTCTGCTTGCAGAGTTTTTATTGAAGTTATCTGACCCCTTGCAAGCAGAGGATTTTGAGTGTCCAGCCAAGCAAAACTTCATCTTGGTCTATCAGGTCTGCTTCATTTCTGCAGAAACGCTGCATAAACAAGGAAAGCTGCAAGGCAGGGACATTATTTCAGGCCTACTGTATTGCAAACTCCCTTGTAGCTAAAATATCTAATGTACAATTAACTGCATGAGCTTAAAATAGTGATGCACGTTTCACAGATGACATAACAGTGGCTAAAAATGAGCCTTTTCTCCAATATCCCCACAGTTAATGTTTCAAAATATGAGGTCACTTGTTGAGTCTTTCCAAAATACTTTTGTTAGGATTAGCATATAACTGTTCTAATTAAAAACCATAATTTGCACCACACTATGAATATTTAATTCCTATCTTGGGCACCTTGAGAGTGTCTGCTTTGAAATTCTATTTAATTAGAATGCTACTTGTCTGTATAACATATAATAAAGTGATTCTTCTATGACCAACAAACATAGATAAACACATAATAAACCATATCCTAACTTGGAAAATCTATTTTTTCACCAAGAAAATATCCTAAGAAACTTCCCTCTTCATGTGTACAGGAATATGCAATATGAAAATCTTCACAATTTCATGACTTTTCCTTCTGAAGTAGTTTAACAAACAAAATGTAGCACTTGAAATACTAGTATTTGTTGCAAATGAGTTACTCAACTCCTGTTATTTTTCAGCCTTTAAAACTGGAAAGGTCCCCATACTTGTCTTTCATGACTTCTCCACTTTTGAGACTCTATATTTCTATACATACAAACCGCTGACAACTGATGCTACTTTATTCTCAGATAACACACTGCCAAATCCAAAGATTCAGACTTAACCTTTACTTGTATTTGAGAAAATCAAATTAATATTAATCTAATTCAGTAACAATTTAAGTGACTGAAAACTTTTCATCAGAATTAAGATGATGATCCATACTTCTTACTGGCTTACAGTTCAGGTCAAATAAAATTTTCCCAGGAATGTGAGGATATTAGTAAAATGAGCTTTCAGGTTACTTTAAAATTTGGTAATTTAGGCCTTTCTGCAGCGTAAAAAATTGTATGTGCACGTTGCGTAGAAGTCAAGTGATGGAATTCGTATGGTAGAAATTTCTGGTCATATTTAAGCCTATAGGGTATTTTTTTGCATTTTTCTTTCAAAAAATAAATTAATAAATGCGAAATATCTCTGAACACAAACCAGTAACTAATAACTCAGTGAAACTTACCTTTCTTCAGCCAAGAAATATTTTGCTTCTCATGTTCAAAACTTTCTGCTGGTTTGATTTTTACCTTGTCTGTCTTGTCTTCTGACATCTGTGGGGGAGAAAAGAATTTTGGGGTGTCAAGTTCTCTTAACAAAAGTTTGACAGAGAAAGACATTCTCTGTTTATGTTTCTGCCATAATAAATTGTGCTTGCTCACACAGACACTTTTTTTCCTGCAGATTATCAATACTTTATAATATCTGAACCATTAAATTTATGTTCTGTTCCTAAATGCTTTATCAATATTACATAGTTGCTGTTTGTACAGTGATGCTTTTGTAATATAACTATAAATTACATTGTGAAATAAATTATAAGCTCATAGCATGGTGGTAATAGATAAACATGTAACACAGAATAGATACAGTCTGGCTAAAAAGGAGGCACCCAGGCTGCCTGTTTGTTCTGGTTCAAAGTTGCTGTAAAGCCTGCTGTCAGAGAGGTATATCTATACAAATAATAATAATAATAAATACTTATAAAGGCAACTTGAACAAAGTGTATCCAAAAAAAAAAAATCTTCACTGCACTTGTAGCAATTTATTTGCTGTAACACGAACGATCACAAACAGTCACGGTACCTGAGGGCATTGTGTGCACAGGAGCTCTCAGCCCAGGCACTGTGGTTTACTTCCACTGCCCGCTAGGAATAAGATTAGGCTGCCCAGGCTTCTCCTGACTGCTTCATATTTTCACTGAATCCAGTTAGGTAAAGCATTTCTCTATTTTTACCTGTATCTTCCGAGCGGGGGGAGCAGCAGGGCTCAGTCACAGGAGCAGCGCTTGCGGCCGAATCCCTCCTTGTGTGTGGATGTCCAGCATTCCCATACACCGACAAACCGAAAGGATGAGCAGTGCAACTCCCTGCCTGCCTGCTGTGTGGTGCCAGATTTGTCTTGCTGCCAGAATCAGTCAACTTATTGCTGAGGGTTTGTTTCTGTTTGTTTGGGTTTTTTTCCCCCCCTCCTTGCTTTTTGTTTGCATGCACTTATAGAGCTGGGTAGGGTAGGGTAGGGAAGGAGGGGGCTAATCAGCACCCCAGCACTAGTGGAGTGATAATAAAATATCAAAAGCTTTTCAAAAAGGAAAAATTGGTTTGGAAATGTTATTACTGCAGTTCATAACCCAGTGAATCTGCAAGAGGAGGAGGAAAATAGAAAGGGAACCAGGAAATTAATAGCGACAAATCAGATAAACGTGTCAGTTTTTTTGGCTAAATATAAGTTAAGATACCGAAGGATGTAGAAATCAGACACTAAAAGTCTATTTACAGCTGTCACTTTGGCAAAGAAATGGTCTAAGCTGGTGGGGAGCTGGGCGCTGTGACCCTCCCCAGCTCAGGAGGGTGAAATCCATCCTTATCCCAGTGGGAAGGTCAGCCCTCACATCCACTGCCACAGGGCTGAGTAGCCCCTGTGGGAACAGCACAAGGGCTGGGTGGGCTTGACAGCAGCACAGGGCAGGGAACAGCCTAGACTGCCCCATACCTTGAAGGCACTACAAAGTTGAGGTTCTTAGTTGGCTTTAAAAATTCTCTTGACTTAATTACCAGCAATATTGCTCCAATGTCAGTAGGAGCAGGGTGAAACCTAAAGAGAACAACAAGATTTTAGGGTGTTCAGATGTTTAATCTTTTCTATAGGACAAAAAAACCAAGCCACTCTGCTTCCCACAACTGAATTTTGAAAGTGTTGGTTTTGGAGTATATGCAGAATTACTCAGTTATCTTACTTTTTAAGCAATATTTACAAAATTTCAAGCAGCATTTGTCACCAGATACTATAATCCAGGATCTCAGTGCTTAAGTGTGGCCAATAAATAATAACATATTCCCTTTGTTATGACAATTATCTTCCTTTACTCTCCCATCACATGTCATTCTTGCAAGAAAAAAAATGTTGTTTTTTTTTTTTTTTTTTAAATCTCCTGTGCCAACATGACTGAGATTCTTCTACCATCTTTAGCTAATTGTGAATTGCATGGTAAGTGCCTACTTACCTCTCCAAATTGAAATGATTAGTCTTGCATGGTTTGAAAACCTATTTTAAGCAGGGTACTTTGGAAATAATTGCAACCACAGGGGGGAAACATCTAGGGGTAATATTTTAAGATCTTTGTTCCATTCCCTTTGGAAGCAGCTTTGAGAATTATGTATTTTCAATTGCAGTTTCTCTCTCTCCCAGAAACACTTGTCTATTTTTCCATGTTGTTGCATCTGCAATGCTTTAAATTTATCAGTGGTGCTGGTTCTTCAGCTGGATTTGTCAGGGCAGTCTGTGGAGCTCCTGGTGGGTCCTGATAAAATCAGCTGGGCTCCACACAGAGCAGTCCAGACCTCTCTGATTGCAGCTTGGACCTGATGCTACTGTGCATTTCAGAAGCGCTGTTTAAAATGATGATATGGGTTGTTTCCAAAACAAACTAGAGAGAAAATTCCCTAGTTCATCTGGCATGCCCTCACTGCTTTTCTAGAGGTTTTGTCAAAATCCCAATGCCTCCCAAGGAAAGCAAAACAGATGAGAAAAAGCCCCTCTAAAACCGCAGCACTGAAAGCTGCTGTTGCTTGATATAACAGCCCCTGAAATCTTGTCCTTAAGGGTTTTTCTCTCTTAAGCTCTCCTTGAAACTAGCAGGAGCTAGAACTGAGCCCAGGCTCAGCCTCCTGGCGTGCAAAAAGCCAGGGTGCTTCACTGCTCAAAGGCAGCCCACTGCTAAATGTACCCTCCACAGCATGACAGTACCAGTTTGACAAAACCGAGCAAACACAAACCTGACTTTAAATCAGATTTTACATCTTAATATCTGACCTTATACCTGACTTTGAGCTTCAGCAAAGATAATGCAGATTAGTGCTCTGAGATGTTCTCTTCACCTGCTGTCCTCAGCTGAGGTGCCCTATAGGACCCCTGGGTGTTGATGGCATGCAAACCTACAGAGGTTAGTGAACCCAAACCTCAGGAAATATCCCACCAGTGAGTTAAGAAAACATTAAATAACTGTCCTGTTCTGAGTATTGTCCCTTACTGACATTTGATTAATGGTCCTAATGTTTTCAATCCAGGAGTATTAAATGCAACCTATCTTAATCTTGGTCAGCTCCAGTTTTCTACTGAGACATGTTCCCGTGTGCTATTTTTGGCTTTATTTAATTAAGTTATTCTGGATAAATGCATCAATATTTCTGTTTCCTAATCAATCTTAAAGTAGTTAGAGGAAAGGCAAGCTTGCCATGCATCCTCAGTAATGCCAGGTTTTACAAAGGAAGAAAAAAACATTATGAGAGAAGGTTATTAAAATATTGAGTAAACTTGTTTCTGTTAAAGCTGTAATTGAATTTTTAAAACCCTGACCCATTTTAAACACTGAACTTTAGTTTATGGTTTGATAATTCATTTCACTTTCATTTTATAGGCTTTATTTTATAGCTACTAAATATCTATGGGCCATCCCTTGTTCCTTTTCCTTTCAGATTGTGAAATAGGGCATTTAAATGGAGGATTAAAAATAAAAATCATAATGCCAAAATAGATGTGATATCAATCGGTTCCCAGATAAATGTACTGTATCAAGTTCTTGTTGAGATTTAGGAGTATATTTTTCTGGTCTGCTCAACTGGGAGTGCAATCAAGTCTTTGCAGAGTTGGAGAATAGGAAACTTTAATAGGTTGTAATAACTATCAAAGCAGAGGAAAAAACTCATTGTTGGTCCTAGCAAGAATAAAAACTCTTAATTTCCTTAATGTTAGGTCAAGAGTCTGGTGCTGGATCCTGTCCTGAGTCTGACGCAGGATGTGTAGCCATAGTCAGGAGAGTTTTTGGTTACATCCATGGGTGCAGCATTTACAATATTTAATTTCACTACCTTTGACTTTTTACTGGAGGCTATGAACTGTGTGCCTAACAGCTGACTTTTCCATGTGAATTTTACACAGCCTAGCATGAAATTAAGCAGTTACTTTTTTCTTGCACAATCCATGTAAAACATAGCCACTTCTCCACGGGCAAGTGGCGCTCTGTAGCTTTGGAATACCCCACACTGTAGTAAATGTGGCTTATTAAAAAAAAAAAAAGTGTGATGATACTATGTCTTTGCTCCCTTTTGCACCCTGAGGTGATCATTTCCAATAATAAAGTGAGTATAATGTGATGTGCCCTGTCAAAATTAAGGAATCTCTTCTTGATCATGCATCTGTAGGTAGAATATTAAGTTGTGGAAACACGAAATACAGCCAAATTATCCTGGTGATTACATGTAAAATGCACAGGTTTTTAGCTAAACCATCATGTCCTGTGAGTACTTCAAATGCAAAACAGGCTGTTTATAGAGACTACCTCAAACTGGCACTGACAAATGATCTATATGCTGCAGAGGCTCAGAGCAGTTCAAAGACAGGATTTTACTCCCCATCACTCTGCCTTGTAGACACTCCAGATAATTTTCAATAATTCTGTGTCCTACAAGAGGAGACACAGGGTTTTATTTCACTTTTTCACTCAGTGCCACTGTGGGTCAGTGAAAGTCTGGGAATATGTTTAGACTGGAGGATGGAATAAAAACTTGAAAAGAGTTGCAAAGGCAGGTTAGCATAGAGGTCACTAACATGGAGAAAGCCCAAACCCATGAGATTGAGAATGCTTTACTGAACAGTAAAGAAAAGAGAGAGACTGCATGTCTTTCATTGTCCAAGAGGGCAGGAGGGAGGTTACTTGGTGTTCATGTGAGAAAGTGATGATGGGGACACTGCTGGGAGAAGAGGATGAAGGTCAAGTGTGAAACAAAGTTGAGAGGATGATATTGTGGAACTGGGATGGGGAAGGCAGAGAGACCCTGGAGCTGTGAAAGGCCCGTCCGAGTTGGGAAAGAGTCTGTGAATGCAGCAGTGAAACACCTTGGCCATTTTCTCCCCTATCAGAGGCCCCAGTGAAATTAAAGCCCAGAGTTTATAACATACAAGCTATGTGTGCCTTTGTATATCCTGTCCTTAAGCAGAAAATCTTCCAGTGCTGTGTCATGTTTTGTCCATCACAGGCCATGTTCTCCAAGACCTCTATATGTGCTGTTCTGCATTGCCCTGTCATTTGAGTAAAAAGTATCTTAAACCCAACAGATTTTCAAAACATTGATACATAGTGTTTCATGGGGTTATTTGACCTTTTAAAGGCTCAATCTGGTGCATTTGGAGAGGCAGGTTAAACAGCTCCCTAGCGTCCCTTGACCTGGAAGGATCCATTCCTGCTACAGGAGACTTTTCCAGACAAATATTTAGAAGTCTCTTGGGCATTACAGCAAAAATTGAGGAAGATTTGTTATGATGAAATGGAAAAAAGCTGAATAATTGCTGCCATATCACAATGTATACTGTTATAAGGGAGACAGGAATATGAGCATCTCATGGAGGCATTGTATCCTTTGGCAGACAGGTGTAACCAACAGAAGTTAGGAGGCTTTCATGTCAGGTATAACAGGTGTAAAAAATGAAGGTTATATTTTCATTGCAGCAGTTCATTACTACTGTCTAGGAAATGGCTATCTTGGATTACTGCAAGGCCCCTGGCTGAATGTTTTTACAGGATTTTTAAAGGCAATGATCTCCTTCTTTAGCTCAATGCAGGATTGATTTGTGTCTCCTTGCCAATGCTCAACCTGTTCTTGAAGTCCCATGAAGACACACAGGTGTCTGCCCTTTCCAGGCAGTCCATCACTTTTGTTTCCTGATAACAAATACACAAACTTATCATGATGTCTAACCTAACTCTTCCTTCACTGTAGATTCAACCCCTTAACTTTCATCAT